ATATAGTAAGCTCTGCTTACACTATCTCTGTAACCTGTTGTTAATATATCTTTCTTACTTCTGATCCGTGTTCCGTGTTTTACTTCTGTGGTCCCAACTTTGGCCCCACATCACACACATACTTATTTACTAAAACGTTAACTAAGAAGGCAAGACTAGCAATAAAATAGTTATATCACACCAAGTGCTCACATATCTGAATCTCACAAACTAAGCCGCACACAAGTTTAGTGAGATTTGTAAAACTTGTGTTTACCTTTTAATATTCATCAGTCAACCTCGTTACATGTGCTGACTTTACATACTTTGGCAAAATATATGACATAATTCGCTGAAGTCAGTCCTTTTTATATACGGCACTCTTCAAACCGGTTTAAACATAGCAATGCAAATTATAACATAATTGCTGCAGCAGGCTCGAAATCGCTTTTCTTAGAAACTTTATTGCAGGCACTTACGCAAAAAGCGCTCAGATATCTAAAGTTGTTAAAATTTGCCAAATTTTTTATTTCACTGCTTTTCCTAAAATTTATATTACTGTTAGATGCAAAAAGCAGATTGGCCAAATTTTGGCATTTTTACTTACATTTATTTTTCTACATAGTAAGTTTACCTACAATCTATTGATAATTTCATATAAATAATTATATGTCTATATTTCTGAGATGAGGTATTATGTACATTACATTATTCGGACTATTGTCCTCATCTTTGTCACCATATTTATCACAACGATTCGGCCGTTGTACGCTCCGGCCTCCTACAGAAATTCATACCCAGATGTACTCAAGGACACATGGCACAGTGGATAAATGCGTTGGTTAGATCCAGTGACAGGACCCAAAGAGTTTGAGTTCAATACCCGGTTAAGGCAGTGGAGAACTTTCAGTAGGAAATTAATAGGAGATAACTGATAACTGATATCCATCAAACATGGCACGTGGAACTAGAACAGTCTACCCCAGTGAGCGAAATAAAGGGTTCAGTTCGACATTCCAACCAGCTGAAGAAGGCCGGAGCGTACAACGGCCGAAACGTTGTGATAAATATGGCGACAAAGATGAGGACAATAGTGTAAATAATTATATTTTAGCTCATTTGTGGCTCAGCGAAACGGTGGGCCGGGTGAACTGACATCGGGGGTGTCGGATTCGGCCCGCGGGCTGTAGTTTGGTGACACCTGATCTAGATGGAAGTTAAATCTGAAAGACAAAATAAAATGGTTAAAAGATTAATGACATTAATATTCACCTAGTTCTATGATGTAATAAACTTTGGTTTGAACTCTAAAATCTGAAGTAAATAAAAATTCGCGATGAAAACAATAATAATGGGGATACCCGATAGAATGTTTCAGGAAACCATTTCTTCGTTTCATCCTACACAACACTTGAGAACATGTCGAACAAAATGCAGAAATCGGCAAACACAGATGGAGATACAAAAATGTCATGCTCTTTTAGGACATTGACGATCATGGCTCTCCACATATTCCTTTTCTTTACTATCCATGAACTGTCATTTATTCTTGGGAAATGTATTGGATTAGTTTGCTGGTGCCTTCTCCAAAGTTAGAAATTCAGAATTTTCCTTCTCTTAGACCGGTTGCCACTTAAGCGTAGAGCGTCCAGTCTATGTGCTATTTAATCCATAGTTAGTGGGGGAAGAGATGTGTTCAATCTTTTTCCAAAGGCATTAGCGCGAAAGTGAACAGACAAGCTGATTCCACTTTCGGTGCCAATATCCATTACACCATTCAAACTGAGAATGGTAATGGTAAAAATGACCGTTTCCTTATAAGGAAACATTCGGCATTCATTGGCCGAGCAGCCAGTGCTGCCGTCGGTTGACATTTATAAAGTATTTCTCATAAAACAAGAAAATAAATTTCTCAAGTTCATTGTCATCGCTCTTTCCTTCCTAACGTTTTGTTCGAAGTAGTGTGGAAAGCTAACATCTGATGTCCTTATTTTCTTTTTTGTGATACCAATTAGAGTTTCTTCTATTGTTAAAAGTCCTCAAATGACGTCGTTTCTGTTATTCAGCGCAGTTCTTTGTTTCTGATCCTGTAGCGCCAATCCTCGAGTTTCGAAGAAGAGTCTTTTACTTTGCTTTCATGTTGTTTCTGTCATCTGATACGATTCTTTATGATTCTATAACACCAGTTTATTATGTTTTATTAGGATTCTTTTTTTATGTGCCGTGTCCATGTAGGCGACCATGGCTCTCCACTTCCCCCTATCACTTGTAGCTGTCAATAAGTTTCGTATCACTGCCACCTCCCCACCAAACCATGTTCTGCCATCCACTTGCTTAAGACCGTTTGGTATGTCATGCGTTGCTTTCTTTTGTCTCTTTTTCCCTCTATTCGCCCTGTGAGTATCAGATTCTCCAGGTCCTTCTTTCTCATTACGTGTCCCAGAATATTTCATCTGTCTTTTCCTTATGTTAAGTATAAGCTCCCTCCTTGTTTGCATCCTCTCCAAGATCTCATCGTTGCTCACACGCCCGCTCCATGATATCCCCAGTATCCTTCTGTAGAACCGAGTCTCTTCTTCATCTTTGAGGAGACCGTCCAACATTCGCTGCCGTAAAGGAGGTCAGATGTTACGTAGCAGCTCAGTACTCTTTTCTTTGCCATCAAAGAAATCCTCCTGTCTCGTAATATTCTGCCCAGCTTTTGGAAAGCATCCTTGGCCAACCCATTCCGTCTTCAGACCTCAGCATCTCACCTACCGTCCTCCGTCAAAACACTTCCCACATATTTAAACTTCCGCATATGCTTGATTTTAATGTCCCCAACCCTATTAGTCTGAATGGTTCAGAAA